TCTCCCAATTCTGGTTATTAAGCACGGCAAAGGCCAATATCTGCACACGCCGCTTGATAAACAAAACTTTGCACCAGCAGGGGGTCAGGCTGAGAGTGAGAGAGGACGGGGAAAGGGGGGGCGGCGGCGGCTACAGCGGGGGACTACAAGGAAGGCGGCGCCGCCGTCGCCGTCGTCGCGCCGTCCTGACAAGCGGCCGACGCCATGAAATTAAAGGGGGTAGGGGGAGCCGCTTGAGCTTGGGGGGCCCGCTACCCCCCCGCCGCGCCCGAGCATGTGTGTGGCCACATCAAACACACAGCGCCGCGCGCACACAATCGGCCCTAATAAGCCCCGCGCCTTACGCCCCCGCGCCTCGCCCGCCCGCGGCCCGGGGGGCAACGGGCGTCGCGCAAGTTGGGAGGCCCCGGGGGCTTACATCGGTATCATCACGTGCAAGCCCTCCTCTCTCTGTGTGTGTCTCTCTCTCTCGCTGTCTCGTGGCGGCGGGCAGAGAGACAGAGAGATCACACAACTACTGCCGCCTGCCTAGCAGTACGCGGCGCTGGGAGCTTCGCTCTGGATCACAAAGGGTTTTGGCTGAAATCCGCATACGCGGTGGAGGTAGGAAATCTACCGGACTTGAACTTTAACTCTTGCAAGGAACAGAGGACTCCGCGAAAACAGCGGAGCGGTAGTGATTTAGGGGATCGATACCTGAAATTTTCTGGTGAGCGCGCGTTCGGAGCCGCTATGCTGCTGCGCGTATCGAGATCGTGCACAAAACTACCGTGGGTGGCCAAAGGCGAAGAGGGTACAAATATTACAATAGTCCTACAATGACCAGGACCACAGAGTCCACATGTCGACAGTGTCCACATAATTTTTCTATCCTGAGGAGTGGGCTCCAGTGGTAATCCCAAACCTCACGGGGTGCATGATATTACTACCCCCCTCCCTGCCCCCAGGGCCCGTAGTATTTGCACGAGCATATAAGGGCGACACTGGAGATGGTGCGGGCGGTATGGCGATGGTGCTGGCGGTGCTAGTATTGCACGCGTGTTTTTGTGTTTTCTTGACGCCCGAACTTGTTTTGCCCGCAGTTGCGCCGCATATCGAGGTGCCGAACCAGCTGCTGGGGGCACCACTCGGCACAGACGTCAAACTCGAGTGCAACGTGGAGGCCTTCCCCAACACCATCAACTTTTGGCTTAAGAGCGGCCAGGAGATGCTGCTGGACGGGTGAGGGTCGTAAACGATTTCCAGCACAGTGCGGCCGGAAGTTGGGGCGGTTATTATTAATAAGGTATCCGTATCTGTCCATAGGCCTAAGTACAGGATCGGTGAGCACAGGAAGAACTACAAGGTGTTCATGTCCCTCCTCATCCACTCCTTCCGGGAGGACGACATCGGAGTTTACAATTGCATCTCCACCAATTCGCTTGGTCGGGCGGAGGGCACAGTGAGGCTTTATGGTAAGTCGAAAAATGTGTGCTAACGCTATTAATTGGCTAACCGTCTCCATTTTCATATCAAGTAAGTTCCTTTCCCTTCTTTTGTTACAGTTATCAAACCAGTCGGAGAGAGTCCTCTCTCGAACCGAGTTGTTAACGCAGGAGGTAAGGAAACGCTGGAATATAGTATCTAAGAAAGGGGCACTGTAACCAGAAAAGTGTGTTCTTGATACATACAATGCAACCTCCCTATACTGGCCAAGACTGGTTTAGACAAGTCGCATTAAATTAAAACAAAAAAAACAAAATAAAAAATTGAAACTTAAATCAATAACATACTTTTCTAGGTGTGCGCGGTACCACTACGCCTGCAGACTACTCTCTAACCTGACCCTATAACCTCTGTTGCAGGCCTAGAGTCCCGGGGAGACCCCTCGCGCTCGGCGGCGGGGCTGGTCCGCCCGCGGGGTTGGCATCGGGGGCTGTGCGTGGCGTTGACGGCGCTCGCGCTGGCCGGCTCGTGGCGGTGACCGTGGGCCTGAGCTGGCCGTGCCGCTCTATCTGTGATGACTGTTGTGTAAATAACGTGTACATAGTGGACATAATGAGTGTGAGCGGAGTGTCTGAAGGTGGGGAGCATGCGTGCTTCTCCAGTAAACGTCTTTCCCGCATCGCGGTGGAAAGAGACCAGAGTCTTTTTGTTACCGAAACGGTGCGTAAGTTGATGTCGTAGTGAACCACACGGACCGAAATAACAATGGTTAAAAATTTCGTGTACTGAGTTAAAGCCCTACGAGACTATTTCATCGGCAAAAACAATGTCTGATGCTTCTGAAAATTTTATGAACTCTCATGATTTGAGGAAAAGTCCTCAGAGTTTCAAAAAAATGGGAAATTCCAATTTTTTGAAGTGATGTCCTCAAAAAATTAGTAGATTTATCTTGAGTAACCGGAGTTACTTTAAGTTTTTCTAATTTCCTCAAAAATTCAGCTATTGTTTTCACCGTGTCTCCCACAGTGCATTGCAAACGGGTGCAGAGCAGTGTTTTCTGGAGTAAAAATGGATTACCTTGTAGGTGTAGGTTTCTTATACATACAAGGTTTCTTCACGGGGTCGACGACTTCCACCATTGGCTGAGGCTCAGAACTCTGTGGGAAACGTGGGTAAGCGCAGGGGTTTTCACATCGGCTCCGCGCCCTGAAACAAAAATATCTAAAATTACCATAATCTTTGAAATTTTTTCAAAAATCTTGCCAGTTGGTATGTTTGCACCCAATACGCTGAGTGACACAAAAATTAATCAGCCTATAGGGATTCAACCATTAATATTCTGGTCTTGGCGGGCTGCTGTGACGTCAACTGACGTACCCTTTGCAACAAAAAGGCTAAAATGTACTTCTTCTGTGCCATTTCGACTAGGTAGAAGGGATTTTATTGTGGGTCTGCGAGTAATATATTTTATTACCTTGTCAAAACGCTGTCTTCTACAAAATCTCGTGCCCGGGCCCTCACTGGAATGCTGTACTTATTATTTGTTTATAAAATGTTGATAAGTTTATGTTATTGGAATAGCCAGGATCGACGGAGTGCTTAACAGACTGTACGCAACTCGTTATGCATTCGCTGTTGTGCAGATTGCTCTTGCGCTTCGGAATTTCAGCCAAGGTTAAGAAATCGTGGTTGTGATCTTCAGCTAGTCTTTTGCATAATAAAATGTGCCAATTTACGCTTTGTGCCATGACTCGGCTATCGTTTTCGAAGGTGATAAAGCGAGGCCTGGCCTGAAAGTCATTTAGTCAATCTTGTAATGTTTATTTTAAAATAAAGCAGATTATTTGATTTCGCCGTTTATTTATATAGAAACTTTCCAAAATTTGTTATGATGTTAAGGGCAATTGTTTGACTGATGTCACCATTACTTTTGTAAAACAAATAAATGTAAACATATCATACAAAATGTTTGCTTGATCGTCTGTGCTTCCCTTAGAGAAATGTCTATGTCTCCCTCTATGGGCAGTTTTTTAAGAACCTTGTAAATGTGATGTTTACCAAACCTTCTGCTTGCTGAAGAGACCAAAAGTCGGCCCTCTGCCTCCAATCCGCAACACGGTCAATTACTTAGCTGAAAATTGTGGTTTCCTATTTGACAGCTATCACCCCAAATCGTATGTAAATAAACAAAGAGCAAAGAAACATAGTGTGAGTTATTATTTTAAGCCGCTATACCATTTTTTCCTCTGCAACATTAAGTCTAACAAAACAGACTAACAAAGAAGAGAAACTTGTGATTCGATTTAAACCATAACGTTGTGATTCATTCATTTTTCCAAAACTCCCAAAATTAAGTTCCAAATTAAGAAGGAAAGTAAGCGATCATACATCAATTTTGAAGCATTGATTGCGGAGAACCCAGGTCGTTCAGCCACTGTTGAGTGATAAAACCGATATAACAACGCGCTCAGTGAAGCGTGCCTCGGCTCACGTCGGCCTGAGCGTCAACTCGTTCGCTCTAAATGTAAAGGGAGATTTTGTTCGTAAAAAGTAAAAGTTTGTGTGCACATCAAGAACGGATGCAATTTTGTTCATAAAACCGCAATTGTGTACAACTTTACACAATTTTGTCCAGTTTTACAAAATTGCATCCTGTCTGGATGCTCACAAAATACTTCTCTTTTCCGGAACAAAATCCCTTTACATTTATAGTAGGGCTGCGAAAAAGTAGCGGGAAGGGAGGAGTGATTTTAGGCACGACAAAAACAGATATTATTGAAAATAGGCTATTTCCGCACTTAGAAAAACTCAGGCCTGCTAGAGGACACACACCAATTCTACATTAATTTGAAATAAAACAGATAAGAGTCCTCTATACCCCTATCGGGCCAGCAGGCATGTCAATGATCGAAAATTCTTGAAAGTCGTGTTATTTGAAAGAATTTAGTTTGAAAGCAGTTAACAGAGGGTCGGTAGGGCCGTTAATCAAAAGGCAGTACCTGGAACGCCTCGCCCTGTAAAAGCGCCGCGGAGTGCATTCGCTGCGTTTGCTTCCATTCGCCGATCAGGCGCATGAATAAACAAGCGCTGTGGTCTCCGAATGGCTAAACAGGATTGCTGTGTTCGCAATCGTGCCGCCGCTCCCTCCCTGACCGCACTCGCGGCGCACTCTCTCCGGAAACGTAGGACACCTCGCCACGCCCCAACCGAGTAAGTCTCTCGATCGGATATTTTATGCGATCCGATAATTGTAGCAGCCGAATTCAGGTCTGTTTACTCGTTGTACCGGTAAAGCTTCCGTCCAGCCGCCTGTACTTCACTGTAAAAATTCTTTGTCACGATGACGAAAATACCATCGCTAATTTTTAGTACAGGGGTGTCGTCATGGGCCGACGAGAAAACCCATATATGTGACCATAACAAACATGACGACACCCCTGTACTACAAATTAGCCATGGTATTTTCGTCATCGCGACAAAGAATTTTTACTGTGTTATCGCAAGCAAGCAGGAGGCCAGGCGTGGTGCTGGGAAAAAAAATTATCAAGCAGAATGAGACTTTTCTTCCTAACCGGCAGCTCTCGCCACTGCCGTCGTCCCCTTCGCGGTCCCGGTGGGTGACTCGGACAGTCTCTCTTTTCCCACCAAAGTTCGGCGAGTACGTTCGGGGAGAGGCCGCAAGAGTCGGGTCGGGGTCCCGTCGCACCATGCCGCGCCACGCCGAGCCACGCCGAGCCAGCGCAGCCAGGGCGAAGAGCCGGGCAAGTTGTCTGAATAGTTAAGGTGCGCACAAAACAGCTCTTTTACGACTTGGCTGGGGGTGGCGTAATGAAACGCAGGCAGGTATTGCAGGAAACAGACTGACCGCTGCTGTGGCGTGGCGACTAGGGGAGGGGTGGGGGGGAAGGGAGAGAGAGGGAGATGACGCTCCCCGCGCGCAACACACAACAATAACACGTTCTGGAATCGAAAACGTCATCATTGTCGTCCACAAATCCTCCCTCCAATTAGCACAACGAGAGGGAGAAGAACAGGGAAAGCGCGTGGGAGAGAGAGAGAGAGAGAGAGAGAGAGAAGAGAGGGGCGCTCGCCCCTCGCTCGTTGATCTGGGATGTGGCGAGGCGGGGCTGGGCGGGGCGGAGCAGGCGATACTGCCGCGGCCGGCCAGCCTCCCCTCCTCGCTGGACCAACGGACGCAGCGCACTTTATTCCGGCATCAGCGCTTTTTTATCTAACGGTTCGGCCGACCGTGTTCCGATGGAGTGGGCCGGCCGGGGCCGCGCACACGGCTGGCCAGACTTTTAATTCCTTTTATTAGCGCGTGGCGGGGCGAGGCGTAGTGGGGCGGGGCGTGGTGGGGCAGGGCGAGGCGGGGCGGCCGGACCACATCATCCCGTCCAGGTGCCAGGTGCAGCCGTGCAGCCGAGCTCGTCTGACAAGACAGGCACGGCAGCAGCCCCTCCGGCCTCGATGGATCCGGATTTAGCAAAGGTGAGCTGCGGGGCGTGGTGGTGGTGCAGGGCGGGGCGGGCG